CCCCCCCCTCTCCAACCCCCATCTATTTTTTGAACTATGATTTCATACAAAACACATATATCATCAGTGTACTTTGAAGAATCTGCAGCGTAGCTTAAAAATCCAAACGCTCACGCAGTGTAAGCGTATTACGCACGCAACTTTCAGTAATACTTTGTTAGTGCTTTGGAGCGTGCTCTTTCCAGGCAAATAACTTTATACTCTATGAATTCTGAATGGGCTCACTCAATATCTAGCCTCTCCTCTGTGTAGGAGACAGCCTGTGGCTCAGATGAGGTCTTTTTTTTCTCCCTCACTCTCTTTGAGGGGAGGACCGTAATGTGCTTTTCACAGTCTTCACTTTATTGCTGTCAAAGAAGATGGAGTGGTTACACAGACAGAGCAATGGTCCATAGCTTGGGGATATTTTATAGGTTGTTCCTGAATCATGGGAAGTTTTTCGCTGTCTTTATCTGAGAAAGTCGACTGTGAACTTCTACTGTGTTTTATTCATGCTGATGTCACTCCTGGCGAGAAAAAACAGCGATGGGTTTGCCGGTGCTGTTTGTCATCTTAACAGCGAGGGGGGGGGGTATCGCTTTGTGTTATTACTCGGTTATTACTTTCTGAGGGACAAACACCATTTTGACACGGGCTAACTTTCCCCTGCAGACTGGCACAGTCTGTAGTTGAGCTAGAGATGTGTCTCCTGGGATGGCAGTGCCTGTCAGTCGGTCCATCTCTTTGGTGCAGGCTGAAATATCTCAACCAGAAGGACGTTTCACACTGACATTTACGGCCCACAGAGGATGACTCCTGCTGATTGCTAGACTTTTCCCCTTCCTCAACCAGCGTGTTAACACTTCTCGGATGGAATGGCATGAAATTTAATATTAATAATCCATCCACCTCCCACTACATCGCGTGCAGACACATTTGCTCCCTGTGAAAAATCACTATTTTGTCTTATATGACAAAGCTAGCAAGCTAAGACACCTCAATCAAGCAGTCAGATGAGGTCGGCATCCATGTGTAAAGGAACAAACAGGTGGGTTTAGCATATGCTGTTAAATGATCCGGATAGAAACTAACTAAACCCACAGAAAGCTAACCTAGCATGAACTGCAGGATAGATTAATAGCTCAGTAAGACAAAGAAATGGAGACTGCCACGCTCTCCTATGGTTTTTTTTCACTTACCCAGTGAGGAGCAGGGCGAGCCTTTTCACGCCATTAAGGAGACAGAAAATTACATTAGAGACAGAAAAACGAGAGGGGAAAAATGTTACAGGGAAAAAGGTTCAGGTTGATCAGGGATGAAGAATAGTGAAAACAAATATATTTGGAGTGTAGAGTGGTAAAACGTGAGCTTACCAGATCTCCAAATAGCCCACGTATGTCTGACAAAATAGCCGGCAGACAGAGTAAGTGTGTGTGTGAGTGCCAGGTTTTGACAAGAAGGTACACAGCGTAAATTAAAACATATGGATTGAGTTTTAGTGTGAGTTTAGTGTGTGGTGGGGAGCCCAGCAAAGAAACTGCAGAGCCAAATTACTCACTTTGAACAACAGTCAGTTATCCTGAGCTTCACATTGTCTGAAAACGTATTTTACACCCTCCGTTACGATTAGGGAGTAAATCAAACCTGTGAAACCATCATGATGTGACAATGTCTCCAGTCGCACCCACACCGTGCTCTACACTGAAGCGAGTCCCTTTATAATAATTGTTTCAGCATTCGCGGGCTGTTTTCCTTCTTCTTGTTTTAAAATGTGCATGTACCTTCTCCTTCCCTGGGATCTGCATTCCAAACAGGGCCTGTTGTTTAATGGGACCATAATAAAATGTGCCGTCAGCAAGCACTGGTGGTTTGCGCTTTCTCTTGTTTACTCACCCATACGCCTAATTCCCCGCGCAGCCCCCTTTCCCCACTCTGCAGCATTTCTTGATGTTAACACTTCAAAAAGCCTGGCAGCAAAACACTGGCTGAAGCACTCTTGAGAAAACAGGAACATATTACTTGTAATGTGTGGGACTTTGTTCTCCCCCCCAAAAAAATACCCAGTAGTGCTTGTCAAGTGCAGAAGGGCAGCAGGGGGCCACGTCAGCTGGATGTTCTGTCTTTTAGATTGCAAAACACAATCATAAGCACATGCAGCTTTTTTCCTTTCATCCTTGTCGTCTCCTGACTCGATCTGATTTCTTTACCAACAGTGAAAATACACACGTTTCAAACCAGTCCCAACTTTCTCCACCCAATCGCTCCTTTTCAACTCTTTGTGGCCACGCTGGTTTCCAGTCTCCCTTTCTGGCTCGCCAAGTTGTAATCCCTCTGGCCTGATACAGTTACAGTCATGCCAATCCCCTCAGATATCCTCACCTCAGTAGAGGCAACTGGTAATTAATCACTGACAGCTTTTGAGTTAAGCCCTCTGTGTGGTTTGGTGGTGGGAGGTGCACTAATAGCCATGTAATCACTGAGTGATAGGTAAAGCTAAGCAGACTTCCAGGTAGCCACTGAGGCCAGCTGCTTCTGGTTAAGTGAGTCCGGTTAGGCTGTTTCTGCGACCACGTGAGGTCGGAGACAATGTTGGAGCCCAGGAAA